TAATATTTCAAGTATTAATTAAAGTTCTTTGAAATATTAAATTTTAAATAAATTAAAATCTAAAAAAGTAACTATGAATATAAAAAATCTGGATATACTTACTGCAAATATATATAATGTTGATAAGAAACTAACCTAGAGATCCTTGGAGAAAATCCGTTTGATTAAACGTTGTATATAAAAGATGTCTCAGGCCACCGATTTCTAAAAGTACGCGATTTTTTTTCTTTGTTTCAAACTTTCCGTTTCAGAAAATTTGCGTGCATTGTTTTCGAATAAAATGGGCATTAGCAACGGGTTGAAAGTGATATTTAAATGCAGATAAGAACAATGGATTGAGAATGTTTAACTAGCGCCTTTGCGTATCGTTGTATATTTTATCTGTCAAAATGTCTTTCAATTTCATATCTCGGCCATGGTAAATAAATAAGAGTTCGAATTATCTCCCATGTTCATGTGTAAAGCAAGCTTAACTTTCCAAACATTGATCCAAGGAACCATTGTGTGGATTTTATGTGCAACCAGATTTAGTTAACCATCTTTTCGATGGTTCGATAAACATCTTAAAAAGTTAAATAATAAAAAAAAAACTTCTGTTCTTGATGTCATTTTATTTATTCCTTTATTTTTTTATTTATTTATTCTTTTTTTTTTTTTTTTGTTATATTGAAAACAGTTTCTTCTTGAGTTCCAGATACACCTGCAACGGAAAATATCTTATGCCTTATACACTGTGGAGTAAATTTTAACTTCTGCATTTTTTTCTTAAGGTCACGGACAAATGACCAATCGTTTTTGTATAGCTTCTGAACAAGATTAAAACTTTAACCGTGAACATAATTAACTTTAAAGTTATCGTTTTAAAACATTTCAAAGTTTGGAAAAAAAATCCTATGTACAAGTACTGGTATTAATATCATTAATATCGACATTAATAATTTACAGTTTTGAAAATGTAAAAACTGAATAACAATAAAACAATAAATCATTGTGTAACCAAATCGAGAAAAAATCCCCTTAAATTCTTTTTTTTTTTAAAGATGCCTATTACATACTTTAAATTCTTCCCACTTTTTTTGTTTTTACCTGAAATCTTTAGACAAACTTACGCATTCGGATGCGCAAGCGCAGAGAGAGAGAGTGAAAGAGAACTCACCTCTCTCGATCTTTTTTTGTAGCTGTTCCACAACATCATGTAGAGAACAGGACAGAGGGCGCTGTACAGGATATATAGACAGAACATCACAGCGGTCAGTATTGACATTACTGTAGAACTGGGCTGGAAAAAGCCCAGCATCTTAAACAACTGGAAGGGAAATCCGGTTAAGACGAAAAACCCCACCATAATAACACATACTTTGGTCAATCTTGCTGATTTGGTCCAGTGGAAAGCGGAGACCCCCATTGGAAGGACCTGCGTGTTTGAGTTGTCATTAACATGGTAGATTTTAATTGTTACTTATATTTATATGTACATGTAAACTATATTCTTGTTATTTATTTCGTGTTGAGTCTCCAAGTTTCTTCTTTTTTCCCCGTACATGTGGAATTTCTATATCTTTTTTGAAAAACAAACGTTCTAGATAGTGATTAAAATCTTCTGATGACATTCAAAAACCTAAGGTTTTACATGTTTGAGCTACTTATTAATTACATGTTTATACATGTACCTCTAAATACAATAACTCAATTGGCAAATGTACCTCATCTTATGTTAGTATCTCTTTAAAGTTTAATATACTGAAGCGCAAAAATCGCAACATTCCGTTATCTACAAATATTTGAATTTTTTTCTAATGATTTTCAAAAATGAATACAGTAAATTCATTTAAAAGCATTAGAGATCTAGCTGATAAAAATGTTTAATGATTATCATTAAGAGAGTAAAACGTCACTGTTAAAACACCCCTCTCAACATGCTCAACTATCATTTAAATATTCACTTTCCAGCATCGGTCAATCAACTGCCTTTCACTCTCTACACGTAGTTCTGGACACTATCTTTCACCACTTTAATTGTATAGTCGTATCTACAGGGGATAAACCAGCTTGATTTTAATATTAATTGTCTGTTAGATTGCAGAACATTCAAATCAAGCGAGTTTGTCATTTGTAGAGACGACTGTAAAGGACTGGGAGGTGGGTAAAAAAAATAGATTTGTTAAAAATGTGCCTAGAATTAGGGAGTGAAAGGTAGTTGATTGACCATTGCTGTAAAGTGGAGAGATTCTCCCTAACAGTGTGTAATAAATATCTTTCGCCGTTAATTGCACTTTTTTTACATTAAAGGATCTAAAGCGCTATATCGTAAAAGCCATAAATAGGCAATTTTTAAGCGGATTCAAACTTAACTTCTGGTAATGGTACGAAAATCATTTAAATGTTAAATTACGGATAGTTACAAATATAAGATATCCTTATTCTAGATAAAAGTAACCCATGTTACCTTATATAATACTTCCCCTTAGAATAGGATGTTGCGTTCCTTTTGCGTTTCAGTAAATGTTACATTTGATTGCATTTCACTAGTTACCTTTTTCGATAACTGTCTTGTTCTTTTTAGAATAAGACAATAACTGATGACAATTGCTAGAAGAGGCAACCATCCATTGACGATACTAGTCACAAGAGAATGGTAGCTCACTGCCGTTAAATGACCAGGAGGTACTCCACAGTTGCCAGTTTTAGACACTTTAGTCCAGAACATCAGGGGAAATGCAGAAATATGAGTGTACATGCAAATAGTTACAAGAACGGCTCTCCGCTTCAACAGAGAATATTCTGCCTGATTGTGATGTCTGCGGACAGAGGGTTGTTGAAGTAAGCGGTACCTATATATTTAAAGAAATATGTTCCCTTAAGAATTATTTCATTAGTTTTAAATGTTACAATATCGTTCGAAATGTATAAACAATTGGAAACAACTTACCTTTGAAAGGCTATGACCGAATGAGTAATCAAAGAGGTAGAAAACACAGCCTTTACTTCCATGGCGAGAATTTGGCACATTGTGTCACCAAAAACCCAACGACCCGCAAATAAAGTAACGGCGTTTGGCACTAAAATGCAAAAACCTAGCAAGATGTCCGAAAGGGAAAGAAGATTTATAAGAGATTTAGTACACTTTGAAACACCTTTGAATTTCTTGGACAAAACGAACAGCGTCCAACCGTTTCCGGGCAGGGATGCAGAGGCGACAATAATGCTGAACACAGAAAAGATCCATTGATAAGTTTGATCACTTTTGGATTCATGGTCCGCCTTATCCAACATAGTGATCGAAAGTGGTAAGACTTTCGTTGATTAGGGGAGAACGACAGCAATATATAGAAAGTAATTATTGTCCAAAGTGCGCAATTAGACCCATGTTAAGTAGCGAAAATTGGTACTCGTGAACCTTTTAATGAAATTTCTGTGTTTGATTTTCAAGCATCACCAATCAACAACCAATAATTATGAATATGTGTGGTCATTAAAATATGCATTCTTCAAGCAACAATTTGAAAAGATCTAACAGATTTATAATATACCTTTACCTCACACATCTTTGCATTTCAATCAACACCGTCTTTATAAAGGAACATGTAAGTCATAGAACAATATAATCAATACCCACAACTAAAAAAAATACAAAAGACAGAGAACAACATCCCAAAATACAGTCCACTGCAATGTCCCCATACCCATACATAATTATACATGTACATCACTCAGACACATGAAGTTCATTTATACCTTTGTTGTGATATTCTTTAAACTGGGATGCTGATCGAATTGGGCGATCGACTTTTTATCAATATAACTATTCAATTACATCGTACTTTAACAGTGAACACTTTTACATTGCTATCCATTACCGATGGATTTTACTCTGGTCAAAACTTAAGCCTAGAGATAGAAATGACATATATCTATAAAATTTATTTCAAGGCTGTTGATTCATAATAAAAACTAAAACATATTTATTTTCTAAAAACAAATGGTGCACAATTTATAGCACTAAAATGTTGAAAAATATTATTAAAACTTTAACATAACTATAAAAATTAGAACGTTTCCCATAGGGTATATCTGTTCCACCCAAGGCACATTTGTATTACAGCAGTGACAAAAATGTACCTTCCATTTGACTCTAAGATAGATTCATTCTGGAATCTGTTATCGAACAGCTTATTAAAGTCTCATTGTTTTAAGTTCATTATGTTATATCCAGTATATCTTTACTTCAGTCTATATTATCTTCTGAGTGCATGTATGTATACAAATAAATATGCTCGTACAGAAATTCATATAATTATGGAGTTTTCTGAACAAATCCTGGTTGAAAATATGATAAAAGATTAACATGTCAAAATTAGATGCATCATAAAATTATAAAGAAAAAATGATCAAGTTCAAATTTTAAAGGATGTCAAGGTCAAATTGCCTTTGATACATGTATACTTAAATGCAAAATGATAAACCGAGGGTAAGAAAAGATTAAATAGAGAGTTCAAAATCAGAAATTATGGCACAGTTGAATAATCCCCGAAATCAATAGTTTTTGACAAAATATTTTGAACATCTCGTAAATTTTGATAAAAGCAAAAATAAAGGCAATGTCATAGGGTAGGTGAAGGTCAGAGGATAATTATACGGTTGAAAATCCCCGCCAGTGTGTATCAGTGTCCGAGAATTAAAAAAAATGGTAAAGTTGCTTTGAAATTGATTTAAACAAATAATATGGAACAGTGAGGTTAAGGTCGTAGATAAGGTAAAGGTCAAATGTTTTTCCACAGTTGAATGGTCTGATTTCTATTTGAAATATCACATTCCTTGAATTTGAGATAAACGTAAAATGTGATAAAGTATCATAACGTATGGACATGATACTAACATTATAATACGTGTATACTCAAGCCATTTCATGGCAGCGCATAAAATATTAGCTCAAAACATATCATTTCAATAATAAATCAATGAAAAATTTAGAACGTTTTTCACGTCAACACAATAGTACTATCAACAAATGGTATATTTTGTATATTTATACAAAAGGGACTTGCACAAACTTCCACAAGGAGTACAACCGTAACAGAAAAATATCTGTGCGTCTATATTTAGACTTTGGTTCAGCTAGGTGTGGATTTAGTCTCTAATTTTATGAGCTTAATATTTGGCAATACTTCCTTACTGTCACCAATCCTTTTACTTTTGCTTTTACTACAGTTCCTTTTAATTTTGTCACACCTCACTCTAGTTAGATCCAACATACAGATAGAACCTAAAACTACCGAGAGAATAACCACCCCTAATGATCCTATGCTTGTTGCAGAAACTCTATGATCCGCCATGCTGATTTTGCTTCGTCTGTGTGCAGAAGTGTTCCTTTTATTAACGGTTAACTCTTTCTTTAGTTGCTCCACTTTTTCCGCCAATGTTAAATTTGAGTCTGTTATGTTCACTGTTACAGAACAAGGACATTCACAAGACACTTTTGCAGTTGTCCCTTCTGTTGTTGCTAATGTTGTCAGTACTTCCGTTGTTGTTTGTATAACTTCCGTTGTTGTTTCTGGAACAAACATTTCAGTAATGGTAACGGAGATTTAAATCTATACATGTAAGTAGACTTCTGAAAAAAGGAATGTTCAATAACATGCTTACCTGGCTCTGCACATAGATCCGTGACGTTTGGCTCTTTATTGGGCGTGTAGGACATATTGTAAGAACCTAGGAAAATTGTACATATATATCAAACATCAATGAAACTTCTGATGCATCATCTATTTAATGGCAAAACTTATAATGGATATCGACAAAGAAAGAGAATAATTATTTGATATATTATCAATTCCAGTGAAGTGTACCGTTTTGAATTATTCGTCACAACCTATTTTGACAGCTGCAGTCAAGGTAAATACTAGTAGTACACTCGTCCTAATCGCAATCTTGATGTTTCTTGTTTGTGTTTTTTTTCTGCAATAGTCTGTTGTACGAGCAAACAATCAGGGATATGGAGAAACTACTAACCTTAAAGCCGGCGGTTAGGAGACGTACATATAGTATGTACTATAATTTACCTTGACTGCAACTTCAAATAGGTTGTGACGTAATGCAAAACGGTACACTTCACTGGAATTGATAATAAAATACGATTACGCTACCATTGAAATATTAATATTCAAACCTGGTGGGTCACAGTATCGTACGTTATAACTATACAAGTCCTGGAGGTAGCAGATATTGTAGAAGGGGTCGTCGTTGATAAATGATGACCTTATGATGTGGCAGACGGTAAAATCGTCCAGAGTCAAAAACCGGTGTCGACACCCGAGGAGTTGCCCACAGTAAGCCTCGCACTCAACATCAGACTTCGGGGCAAGATATACCGACTCATTGCAAGAGTGGATACACGGTAGCTCTTGAAGGAAAAAAAATAATGTATTACACATGTATAACTTTTATCTTGAAAGCAAATTAAAATTAAGTAAATATTGAGGTACTTATATTAATATTTTAAGAATTATAATACATTAGTACTTGCATCCCTCATAATGATCTCAATAACTTTTTCTTTCTTATCGCTATTATTCTAAGAACAGACTACTTCTATCCTCTTTATAGTGTTTGCTTATCATATTGATTGTATATCTTTAAAATTTGAAGAAATTTCAACATATTCAAGAAGGCAATATCACTAAATCATAGTATGAATAAAGTTCTATTCGACCTTTTATTTTAAAAGCAAGGCCATGTCAAGGTCATTATTTTTATCATTGACAATAAGCATAAAAAGCATACGCAATCATATGAACCCTACTTCTTTTTTTATTTTTTATTTTTTTTTATAAATCATGCATTTCTCTGTTTACATCAAATGATGTTCCCCTTACGGGTCTATCAGATGATAGTACCACACTGACATAGAAAAATTAACAAAAATACATAATGGCTTTTCCTAATAATTCTATTTAACTTAAATGTTTAGGGAATATTAGTTTTTAATAACTTTATTTATTCAATTACAGGTTTTTATAATATTTTTTAATTGGAAATTTGAAACTGAATTCATTGTTCAGAAGAAATTTTCAGAAGCAGAAAAGGAACCTTGTCATACGCCGCCATTACGCCAGAAGTATAGTTCACTACTTGATTTCAAACTCAGTTTACCTTTTGTGTTTCAAATAGTATAATAATGAAAAGGAAAAAATGTAATCTTTTAAATCCCTTTCCTCTTAATTTATAAGACATATAATCAAATAAGATTTTGATATATCATCTATATTCATAAATCAGACAAGAAAAGAAAACTGAATTTTTAAAATTTCTACCATTGATTGCTTATTATCATATATACTGTACAAGTATTATGATATTGACAAAGGTTTCTTTATGTTATGTCCAGCAAAAATATTTGAAATAAAACCACAGCAAAAACCAAGGGGAAAAGAAAGATGTATACATCTATGCATATACATTTTGTACATGTATGTCTTCAATATTATATGAACGTTAGACTTGGAATATTCTTAACACGTGATTATTTGAAGAAAATTAGTGAAGGATAGTATATTGCCCCTCCCCAGTTGCAACCTTTCCTTTTTCATAACAAGCTAAGCAGATAACTGTAAAATTACCGTCCATTAACTTCATGCACACGAAGTCATGTTCCGTGTTACAGGGCATACCCAGCCAATACTTGTGTACATTAGTTCCAAATGGTACCCAGTAAACGTCAAATAAAACGCAAGGATGATCCACCACGTAGGAAGACCTAGTAGAGTCGTCCCATTCCAAATAGGTCACGTGTGAACAGTTGTCATGATAAAAGTCGGTTTTGTTGTTTGCATCTCTATTGTGCACATCCATCCAGTATCTCATTTCGTGAAGTCTTCGGGGCAAGGACTCGGTTGGAATTCTGAAAAAGAAGAATTTTTGAGGAAAAGAAAAGGCATAAATGATTGCAAGATTTCGAGCGTTGTGTTTAAAATGCTTGTCTTTGGATTCTTTTCAGACTCATTTTTTTTAATCAGATTATTTACAAAGATCATCAAACAGTGCTGTTGCAATTATAGAAATTTCCGAAGAGATGACTAAAGTTATTGAGAAAAAAAATAAGTGCACTTAACATAATGTCGATCTTCTTGAAAATTAAGAGAGGCAGATTAATTATGAAGGAGAAGAGGGTTTTCCTAATGGCAGTATTAACTAAGTTAAAATAAAACAGGGTATATGTACCGATATTTCCTTTCTATTCGTTTTCTCTGTGATAACTCTTTGAAAGTTTGGTGAGTTTCTTTCTTGATCATTCAACAGGAATGTAAATTTCTCCGAGCAAAAGGTCAAGCGCTAAGGAGGCCTAACATGCATATTATAAATTTTCCAATTGAAAGATATAATAATAATAATAATAATAATAAATACTTTATTTAAAGAAGGCAGTATTACTATATATATCTAAATTAAAATAAAATCATATATAATAGTAATATGTTTAAGGTATGATTATGTATCAATAGTTTTTCCATTTCTCAAAAAATTTGCGACAGCTGATAATGTAATTTTCTATATTCTCTGATTGAGAGATAACTCTGAATACTGAAAAGAGGCCTTTGAAAGTTTAAGAAGTAGAAGAATGAAATTCAAATTAATTACAAAGATATTGGGGAGTCGTTCCACTGAAAATTTTGTATAATAATATGTATTTGTATAGATCAACTAGCTCATTGTTAACCATCCAAGTTTCTAAAACAGTGGTTTAGAAGAAGAATCTGGACTTGCGTGAATAATCCTTGCTGCCCTTTTCTGTAATTTAAATAGTCTGTCCATGTCCTCTTGGGGGCATACCCCAAATAGTCAAACAATAGTTAATAGATGGTAAAATATAACATTGTAATATAGTTTTCGGAATGTAAATTTCGCCGAGCAAAAGGTCAAGCGCTAAGGAGGCCTAACATGCATATAAATCTTGTGCTTGTCTTTGTGTCTGGGGACAATTGAAATTCACATGCGGGGGTGAAAGATTAGACAACATTTGCAATCAAATGTATAATATATCAACACGTGAAATGACCAATTAATGGATATCTACTTTTCTATTTTTGATGAAATTTTTTACAATCAAATGTAAATTAAGGAATCTATTCTATTGGATATGCCAGGGACATCACCGACAGTTACGTTGGAAACATTGGATAATTTATGCCCATTATGCAAATTATCCTACGAAACTTTAAATGGCTATTATCCTTTGTTTTTTGACGAAATTCTTTGAAATTTAAAATATAGTCATGCATTAGGATAACCTACAATATGGTATAGAAAAATATTCATGAAATCACACGTATGCACGTGTGCTGCAATCTGATTGGCTGAAACTTGAAATGGCTATAACTCTCTTGTTTTTCAACCAAACCGGATGGGATTTAGAACGATTGTAAAGGACTCCTACGAAGGTATATATGTGCCCGAGTATAATTAAACAAACTAGACAGTGATTCAGTAAATGCTGTGTTAAGTATTCTAATTTGAAGAAAAAATACAGAATTACAATTTTTAATTGTTTTAGCTGTAAATAATTAAACAGGTTTAAGTGTCCACTGCAACACTCAGCAAACATATCAATATTTCTGTTTACATGTAATGGAAGGTCATTTATGTAAATAAAAATAAAAGTGAAAATTGACCCTTGTGGCACTCCTGCTGTGACGGGTAGAATATTGGAGACACATGATCCAAATTTAACACAACGTATGATTTGATTCCAAATTTGTCTTAATAGAAGAATATTGTTTCCTTCATACTAGTTTATATTCCTTTCAGATATCATTGAAACCAATACACTTGTAGTTTACATGATTTTCAAATTTTATTGAAATCAAAATCTTTGCATGGAACTTGCTATGTAGTTAATAAATTTTACATATATATTTAGACGACTGGGCGCAATGCCAGCTGATTTATTGATATTTAGAGAATTTAACGTTATAAACTTCACTTTCCTCAAGCGACAATGTTTCTTCATCAAGCTTAGACCTAACAAAATTACATAATATATTAGGATCATAATTGTTTTGGCATATTAGAGACATCCGTAAAGTGGTTATTAAAAGTATTTGCAATATCCTGTAAATTGTAAGTCTCTTTGCCTTTGGTCGTAAAATGGACCAGACTCAAGTAAGCTACAAAATGTCTTAACTCACAAGAGAAGTTTCCACATGGACCATTTCTTGTGCATTTCTCGTTTTGTTTTCCTCCTATTAAATAATTCGACAGTAACCATTGATCGTTGTTAAATTCTATTTGTTTTAAGTCAGATTTCCAAACTTTTTAGCCTCGTTTTCCAGGTGTGGTTTGTCGTTGTATATAGTGAAAACAAATCTCTGATTGGTCCAATTTGGTAAAGACATCGAAAAGGCTACAATAGATGGAATTCCAGATTAAAAAAAATAATACTGATAAGCATTATACCTATGTATATATTACATTATCCTACGATCGTTGAGGCTCGGGTATATATGTGCCCAACAAACTAGACAGTGATTCCTTAAATGCTGTGTTAAGTATTCTAATTTGAAGAAAAAATACAGAATTACAATTTTAGCTAAATAATTATACAGGTTTAAGTGTCCCCTGCAACACTGTTCGAGAAAATGAAATATTGATGAGTAGACGTTTTGATTCCTCTTATAGTTGTTTCCTTTATACTTGTAGTTTATATTCCTTTCAGATATCATTGAAACCAATACACTTGTAGTTTACCTGTTTTTCAAATTTTACTGAAATCAAAATATCAACGAAATTGTGTATAAATGAACGTCTTTCGGTGAAAATTTGCCCATACATTAAGAATTCATAAAAGCAAAAAATATTTTACAAATATTAAATATTTTCTGTACAATGGTATATAAATGCGTCATCGCAAATTTCGAAATCAGATATTGAAAATATGTAACACAATTTTCTTTGTGGACCCATAATAAGGAAAATAATTCTTTTTATGTGTATAATTTTTCAGCTTTAATTCAAATAAATGTTGTGCAATTTTGTTAAAATTTGGATCAGGAATACGGAGATCATAAAAAAGATTAAGCGCGGTAGATAAATCCGAAAAAATGGATTTTGAGTCAAAACACATCTGTTAGCGCAAGGAATCAAACGAGAAAAAAATTAATGTGTTAGGGTTTGTTATTTATTGGTATACATTTTTTTTTACAATTAATTGTAAAATCAAAATACGACCATCAGTTATTAACGGTATTAATATCGTTACGGTATTAATAACGCGTTGCATAAATCGGCACTGCATGATTTTAAATTTTATGATTAAAACAATTTGAACTGTTATATGTAATAACAAAGAAGGAAAAGGATTTGCTTTCCGATCGTTTTACATGCGAAACCACATACGTGTAAGGTCGATAGACATATGCATGTTTATTATTTCACCGAAACTTTCCTTATTATCATAGGAATTAGAAATTTTGCATAAGTGTTTTATTCGTTCTTTATAAAATGTTGATAAATTTTCCTGAAATTATCTCCGTCCTTTATGGAGTAAATGTAATTGTCTCAATAATTTCCGAACAGCCCTAGTATATACCTAGCAAATTAATTTAAGTCTCTTTGCCTTTGGTCGTAAAATGGACCAGACTCAAGTAAGCTACAAAATGTCACAATGAGTAACCATTGAACATTCCCTAGCCTCGTTCCAGGTGTGGTTTGCGTTGTATATAGTGAAAACAAATCTCTGATTGGTCCAATTTGGTAAAGACATCGAAAAGGCTACAATAGACGGTATTCCAGATTAATAATAATAATAATAAAATAATAAGCATTATACGTATGTATATATTACATGAGAACTTTGCAACAAACTTTACTTTTCTAAAGGCAATACACAAAATGAAAGTGGACGTCATTCAAGTACCAACAAATTCTCAAAATCTGAAACCCCTTACCCCAACCCCCGCAAATTTAGTGTATGACAATTTTGGCTTTTCTGGTGGACCCCAAAATTTTAATAAAAGGAATCAAACTTTCCGAATTTAGGAAACCCAAAACATTTTATTTTCTAACACATTCAAAAGAACTCAGTGGTTTTTTTTTTTTTTTTTGGGTAAAAATACAAGGACTACAATGATTGAACATGTTGTTGTTGGTAAGATATTTTTCACGTAAACTCGGATTACCAAAATTCTGCCTGACGAAGATTTTAATAAAAGTAACTTTTCTAACATTTTTCTATTCAAAAGAGCTCTTTTGGGTAAAAGTATCGAATGGGAGGTAAAGACAACACTAAAATCAACAATATTTTCTATGTGGTATATGTACGCTTTTTCTGGTCAATGGAATTATTTGAGATGAATGCAAATGAGAATTTAAAAAAGGCAATAATGAATTAACAAATTTTCAGCAGAAAAAAATCTCATCTGTTATATAACTATTATATATAAATGTTACATTAACCTGAAAATCTTGTAAAATATGTTTTAAATGTAAAAAAAAAAAAATAATTAAGATTGCTATTAAAATTGTACTTACATATAGTTATCGTAATGCATGACAAACAGTATAAAATTCTCCGCATCTGAATAGAGAACAAAGAAAAATTATACACAGAATATTGAAAATAAATGATTTAAAGTTAACAAAAATGCAAATATATTCATAGAAAATCAAGAGTCTGCATAGCCGTGACCTTTTAACTCTATTTTGTTTGTTTTTATGGACAATACCCCCATTTCCATTAAAAACTGTCGGAATGATTCATATTGCTCAGAAATCAATGCACAGACCTAGGTCCACGTGAAGTCTAATTTGAGTTGGCATTAGCTTCAAATTTCAATATCTCTAATTGCCCTTCTTTACATGCCAGTATG